CCCCACACACTATTAAACTAAGCTCCCCGCTGAAACCTAGTAAGCCAGTCACTTTGTGCCTTTATCGCCCCCTCATTTTAGGTAGCAAATGTCTTAACTTGCCCATGCCTATCTACCCTGTGTACAGAGGGGATAGCATTGACACTTGATGTGAAGACTCCTTCTCTCTCTGTTGGTATTTAGAGTAACTACCTCCATGAGTATAGTTCAAGTTGATGAAATTATAGCAATTTACCCACCTTTCCTTTATTAAAAATTGTTTTGTTCTTTTTTATCTTTTTAAATCTTCCTCTAGTAGAGTTCTGATCATCAAGCCATTGAGGCTAGGTCAAATGGATACTATCTGCAACTTTGGCTGTTCTTGTGCGACCCTTTTCACTTCATATCAGCTGGATGCCTCACTCTCAGCTATAGCCCTCTATGGCTATGTCCTTGTCCATAAATAGGCTCAGGTATCCCCAGGTCTTACCATATTTTGGACCAACTAGCCCTTCTTGTTTTTGTCATCTCCAGGACCACGGGAGACTGTGGAACATGGCTGAACTCAGCACATTTCTTCATTGCTGTCTTTCCCCCTCTTCCAATCACAAGTAGACCAACATAGGCGCCAGCAAGCTTAGATGCCTGCTCATGTGTTTCCTTTGAGTGACATTGCAAAAAAAGGAAAATCCAACTTTCTCAAATGGGAAAGTTGTAGAAGACCAACAACATGGACTCCTTTCACAATAGTTCACATGCTGAGCAAAGAAGCAGAAAAACTGGAAAGTATGTATCAGGATTGGAGAAATCCTGGAATACACAGATAACACAACCTTCCATGAAGAAAGCAAAGGGAACTTGAAGCATTTACTGATGGAGAACAAAAATGACAGTTTTGAGTATAGATTACACCGTAATGCAAAGAAACAAATATCCTCACAACTGGATCAATAAACATCATGATAAATGGACCAAAGATTGAAGTTTTGAAAGGTTTCTTTTTCCTTGGAGCCATAATTAATGTCCATGGAAGCAGCCATCAACTCAAAAGACATCCGGTATTCAATAAATCTGCTATGACCATCTCTTCAGAGTGTTGAAGAGAAAAGATGTCCCTTTGAGGATTAAGATGCTCCTTACCTAAGCCATGGAATTTTCAGTGGCCTCACATGCATGTGACAGTTTGACAATGACTAAAGAAAACCAGTGAACAATAGTTGCCTTTGAAGTCTGTGCTTGTTGAACATTATTGAATATACTGTGCACTGCCAGAAAAATAAACAAATTTGCCTTGGAAACAAGGATGTCAAGACTTCAGCTCACATACTTTGAACATATTCTCAGGAGGGACAAGTCTCTGGAGAAGCACCTCATGCTTAGTAGAGAGTCAGAAATAAGAGGAAACCCTCAAAAAATATGGATAGGCCCAGTAGCAATGGACTCAAACATAGCACTCGTGAGGATAGCACTTGAGTGGGGAGTGTTATGTTGTTTTGTAGTTGTAGAATGTTGTTTTGTAGTTGTATATAGCGTTGTTACTTCGAGTTGGAACTGACTTGACAGCAACTAAGAATAACAAAATCTCAATTGACCCTTACCCTCTACTCCAGCGTTTTCCTCTAAAGTCATTTTCGTTTTGTTGACGTCCTTAAAGTTAGTAATAAACCCTCAC